TTCGAGACCTGACTGCTTGCCTGCCTGCCTTTCGCTCGTTCATTTGCGGTCCATCCTACGCGCTGCGGCATCATTATCGCCTATATCCCGTCGCCCTCTCGAGTGTGGGCTTATGGTCTTTTGTGCGTCCTCCTCTCTCGTTCCCTTTGTGTGTTATTTCGCAAAAATAAAGAGGAGCGAGAGAACGAGGAGGCATTGTTGGCCTCCTGCTGTTTACATGTAATTTTCCCAGCATTCCGTTGCCATCAATTTCATCCGCTCCTCAGACTCTCGCCATCTCATTCTGCTCTCGACATTTTGAATTTCCCGACGCTGTCAATTTTTCTGTTCTACCTTTTCCACTCCTTTTTTATTTTTTGCCTTTTCGCAGGCTACAAATCGCTTTGATTTACATAATTCTGCGCACATTTCGACGCATAGTTTTTCCAGCTTCGGCTGTGGTTGCCTTTGCTGCTGTTGTTGCTGGGGGTGTTTGCATATTTTTTGACAGCTGTCAGGAAGTAATAAGTTGGAATTTTGCCCGGTGCCGGCGCCTAGTCTGCATCTCCTGACATTGACAGTTGAGAACGGGAGCGGGAGAGTGCAGAGAAATCGGAAAAATCCTTGCAGACATTTTACAAATGCTGGGTGGATGGCCTGCGGGGAGTCCGGATACCGGTATCCGGGAAACCCACCAACAATGGCCACGTCAACGAGCTGAATCAGATTCGAAATCGTAAAGTTTTATTCGATTGGCCCAAAACAGGTTCTCTAAATATGACAGCTGGGCTTTGTGGTGTCATTAAGGGCCTAACGCCAGCCGAGGTCCTCGCTCAGGTTGATTTTGGGGATTAGCCGATGAGCGGCTTAGTTGCCGGCGAAGATTAGCGAAACTGATGGGCTGCTTAGGCTTGCCTATGTCAACAGGGAATCTGGAGCTGAAGTCCTGTGGCAAACCTTCAGTTCGGGAAAATCTAAATACGAATCTCAGGGGTGGCTTTTTTATAACGATTCATGATCACAATTTTCACAATGCTAAATCCTGCTTATATCATAAGCACTATTCTGCTAGATATGGCAAAATAAATGACATATTTTGAGATATTGCACTAAAACTAGTTGTGTCTAAAAAATACAATATACTTAAAGAAAAACGCTATTTGTCGCAACTAAGCTGAGCAATTTGGTGCATCAGGACTTTGGGTACCCATGAAATTATATTTGTTAATTAAACTGAATTAAAACTGACTCATACAATTTATATAAACATAAAACTCTTAAATTATGAAACGTAAGGGCAACAATTTAACCTTTAAATAGTTAAATACTAAAGATTTAAGAATTGAAAAGAAATGAATTTCGAAATAGAAAGGACCTATGCAGTGGTGGGCGCAAACAATCTCTTTCCATATGTATGTAGGGAAATCAAATTGGTTTATATTTTGAATTTCCAATCAAATGCTACATTGGCGTGCAATCCAAGGTTCCCGCTGACTCAGTATTGTTCCTTTCAAGATCTCAATGTCCAACTGTCTATGACGCACAGGAAGCCCCGGCACCCACTCGAAAGCACTCCTGCCCGTCCATTTATAATACTGCCCCCCTTGTACGAAAACCGAAAATAGACGGCACGTCGCGGTAGAGAACAAGTGGGAGCGCGCCGCAAGCACAAAATTGTTGAAACATGCCCATGCCAAGATCCAAGAACAGAGATCCGAGATCACTTTTGGAAGCGACCGCACCCGTGTGAGTGCACCGGCCAACCCAAACAATACGGAATTGCCTCGGTTATGGGCCCAGAAGCAAGTGTTGGGCTGTTCGAAATAATTGTCCGAATGAGATTTCCATTTTGCAAAATTGTAGCCAAGACAAAAATAAACAAAGTGGCCTCATTAAAGCGGCCATAAACTAATCGAACGCAGCGTAAACAAATGATATGACTATCCGCTCGGCTTGGTTATGCTCGGTTCTGCGCTGCAGGAAAAACTGGAAAACTCTGTGTGAAAATAAGGAAATCGCCTTGTACACACTTTAAATAAAAATTAGAACTGAAACTTACAAATAGGACAAATAAAAGAAAACTCCTACAACAAATTAATGGTCCCAAAAAATTTAATAACAAATTTTAAAATCTTTTTAAACTTTTTGAAAAGGTTAGATATTAGGAAGAATCTCACCAATTAATTTTCTTTTATTTTCAAGCAAATGTCAAGGAAATTTCAAAATATTTTCTCAATATCAAAATAGAGTTATTCTGATTTCAAAACCATTTATTTTTCCTAATTTTTGTTCTGAGTGCAGCGTTCCAATCCCAATCAAAATCCAAATCGGAGTCAGATTCCGATTCCGTGGGTGACCTTGTTGAGCTTCCATTTTCGAAATTAGTTGCGTGTTTCTCGCTCTTTTTTCGCTTTCAGCTTTTGCATTGTGATTGGGCTTGCGATTGGCTGTGGAGGCCATCTGGAGTTGGATTGGGATTCGGATTCGGATGTGGCTGGCTGTGGACTTGGTCTAAGTTCAATAAAGCAGAGTGATTTTTTTCCAGCCCAATTTGGCTAATTGGCGGCTGACAAATCGAGCATTGAGACATTTGAAACTTCTGTTTCGAGCAGATTTTCACACATCAACACAACGCCCCCTCCTATTCGCGAGAGAAGGAATTTTCCGCTGCTTTTCCAGGCCCTCACTTTTTTGCTCTTTTCGGTTCTGGGTTCCGACTTTTTGGCCATTTTATGACAGACTGGTGGCGTAGAAAAGCAGGGGAGAAGCGTGTAAAGCGGGAAAAGCTGGTGCCTGGTGAAGTGTTGAAAATTTACGAGCTGCGCCCCTCCCCAATCACACCCCCTTTTGGCCCACTTTATTGAATTTCATTTCTTGCGCCAAAACAGAAAAAAGAAATTCTCCCAAGTCTTCGGGTCTCAGGAATTTATTGTTTGCCAGTTACGAAATTTATTTCTTGCTGTAAATTTACAATTTTTTCGCTCTTCTCCCAGGTAGCGCACAAACACAATAACACATACACGTACACACCCAGGTCCCTCTTCTTCTTGTTCGATTTCCATTTGATTTTTATTTCGATTCAAAGCTTCAATTGTTTGGCAATTGTTTTTATAACACCACAAAAACGCTGATAGGGAGAGGAAGACGAAGACCAAGGCGAGGGCGAACGCGAAACAGAAGCAGAAGGAGAAGAAGAGGGCAGGGAGAAGGAGGGCGGCAAAAGCGCAAAGAGGAAATGCCAGAAATAAAGTTATGTAAATTCCGTTTTATGTGCGGCTCCTAGCCAGCGTGTGTGAGTGTAAGTTCAAATGCCAAAAAGCAAAGGAGGAAATAATAAAACTGAAGCATGTCGGAGTATGTTTGTGGTTAGTGTGCTTGTCCTGGCGAGCCAAGGGATCCGTGAAATGTAGGATAGGTCTGGCAAGTAACTAGCAAGTGAGCCGCGATGCAGGTGCTAATCACCTGGCTTGGGGATAAATTTATAATAAATATACATATGTATGTATTTGTATGTACATATGTATGTATGCACCTGATTTTAACTTCAATATTAAATTTTGTGACGAAAAAAAGTTATGTACAGTTATGTATGTAACTGATTATTTATTATTAGCAAAGTTTAATATTTTTGTATACATGTACATATGTAATAATTCGCCAGGTTACTTTTACCATTACTTTAATTAAACCGCTTAAATTTTTTAGACCGAAAATAAAACCTTTAAAAAAAGGAACATTTTTCCACAACAGCTTAACATTTGAATATAATTTAATTTTTTCATTAAATCCATACATATGATGTATGTATGTATGTATGTACATATGTATACTAGACAAACCTTTATTAAGAAAAAAATCTGCTTTAATTGGAATATAAACGGTATATTTGCTCAAAATAAATGAATAAAATTTAAATGTATGTGTGCCCAAATTAAAGAAATAATATTTAAATAAATACATATGTATGTATGTATGTATACAATGTGTTCAACAATTAGTAATGTATTTTATTCATAATACGGCTTGCGAGATTTCCCGCAGTGTATTTAAGAATAGGCAATTGTAACAAAAAACCGTCAGAGGACTCTCTTTTTCTATTCCAGCCGCAGGCATTCTGGAGGGTTGGGGACACGTCTGGGATTCTCCTAATTCCTGGACTGACTGCCTGACAGAGAAAGTATCCTTTTCAACTTCGCTTTGTGCGCTTGCTATTGTTGAGTTCGCTTTATTAATCAGACAAATCGTGAAAAAGCGCGCTCAGTCGGAAAAAGGGAAATTATGAAATATGAAACGAGAGCGGGCTCAATGTCGGGCCCGGCCCGCTCCACACTTCCAGCTCGGGATGTCGCCTTAATTTGTTTAATTTATGCAAAATGTTTGGCCGCAGTCGGCGATAAGCGTCGTAATTTGTTCAAACTTGTCGCAACTTGCCGGCCCTTCCTCTCCTTCAGCGATTTTAATCGAGAAGCCCAGTAAAATTCCGTACAAGCAAGGAAGATAATTCCAAAATGTACAAAGCTTACTCCCTTTCCTAAACTTGGACAAGTCCCTTTTGTTTTAATTAATTTAAATCGGCAATTGTATACCTTAAATACTTTGTGTTACTAATCGTTACTTCAAATACAAGCAAATTGGCAAAGAAATTGTTTTAAAAAAATGTTCATATACAAGACAATTATTTTCAATGAAACTTTGCAAGATTTTCAATTTAAAAACAAGTACATTTGCAAAGAAATTGTTTAAAAAAATGTATATGCTACTATTTAGTTTAAAATTACTGCTAAACACGCCTGATTCAAATGTAATTAAGTTATTTATTAAGAATATAATGAAGTAGCTGTCCTAGGCCTCCCACGTATATTGGACTAAAGCCGCCCATGGATTCTATAGTTACTGAATTAAAGGGTTATAAGTGAAATCCATCCTGAACACGACATATTTTTAAATACAAAAGGCGAAAAGTCTTAGAGTTTCCTAAAATCCTAGAGGGCGGTAGAGCCTAATTCCGAGCTCCGACTCACCTTGTCTTCCGTGTGTCCGCTGCGCCGTGTTGCTGGCCGTGTCCGGCGGACGGTGCGGCAGGTGCTGGTACTCGTAGTCGTAGTGCGACGACTGGGCGGCGGCGGCGGCCTGCAGATTCTGCAGGTTCTGCTGGCTGTGCTGGCCCTGGTGCTGCAGTGTCTGACTGCCGTGGGCGCCGTGATCTGCCGAGGGGGCGGAGGGCCGCCCGCTTATGGGCAGCGTCCGTCCTTGCGCCTGCTGATGGGCGAGGGCGTGGGCATGGGCGTGGGGGAGACCGCCGCCCGCGTCGCGGCAGTCGAGCGTGGACTCATACTCGTAGGGATTCATGGCGGTCGCCTCCAGGGGACATTCGTCGTCGTCGGTGTCCGTGCCGCCGTCGTATATGTTGTCCGTGTGGCGGTACGCGTGGTGGGCGTGCTGCTTGGAGAACTTAATCTTGGCGGCTTTTGCGGGCCGGGCCGTACAGCCAGACAGCCGGACAGCGACGGAGGAGGAGGAGGAGAAGAAGAAGAAGAAGGAGAAGAAGAGGGGGCGCGGAGCAGAGAAGCGAAGCCGAAGACAGACTTTTCACTGCACGCACAGCACTTCACTTGGCCATTTCTCGGCGGTTAATCAGGGTTACGCTTGCAATCACAATCACAATCGGGGAGCAATTTAATATTTATATTCTCGGGGACCGCAGCTCACCCGGATTCTGGGGGACACGACGGAAACACACAATAAACGACAGGGAGACGCGACGGAACGGATCAAAAAACTTTATCCCTCGATATTTTCGTTACTTGTACAAATGAGCCGAAATAAATTCACATTGCTCGGACTCTGGCGCGGAACAAACACAAGCGACCGACGCGGCTGAATATTTTCGTTTGGAAATCCCCGAAGTTTTTTCCAGTTACGACTTTTCCGTTTTTCCGCGACGGAGCGGCACAACCGCCTTCGTTGAATGAATTTTTCGAAAAAAACTGGCCGATTTAGGTTTGGACTACGGTGTCTCGTTATTCTCGTTTCTTAACTAACTCAGAGGGAGGTTTCTCGCAATTCGGTTGTTGCGCTCTCTCTGGCCCAATGAGACGGTTTTTTTCGCTCTCCGCTCTCCGCTTCTCTCTATGTTTGTGCTCTGAGAGAGCCTCATGAAGAGCGTAAGCCATAAGCACAGCCCGATGAAACAAAAACTAAAAAGGAATAAGCGCTAGAGAGCGTATACTGAACGGGTTCTTCTCCTTCGTTCAGTTTTGAGAGCGCCTCTGCTGGAGGCAGAGAGCGCAAGTGTCGTGGGAGGAGAGAGCAAGAGCAGTGAACGCACACTAATGCATTGAGCGACGCGCTCGCGCATGCTCGCTGTTGCCATCGGCAGCGCTGCTCGGCCGCAGCATCGGGGCAGAGCGCGAGAGAACTGAACGAACCTTTAGTTTGAAGGTTAAACGTGCGTATTTCGTTATCTTCCGGAGGGGAAATACAGGGGTAGCAGTTTCGTTTACATTTATCTTTATCTACAACCAGTAGAGCTGTTAGACGCGGCTACCAGAGCTGTGAAATCGGGATTTCACCAGATAATGCATAGAAATTATATCAAGTATCAGGTTAAAGAAGCTGGGTTGGGAAAACTATTATTTTCAAATTTCCCATCTGGAATCGTTTGCCCACCCTTAATTATTATTATTACTAATTGCAAAAATATGACATTTCAAAATTTTTATGAATGAAACTTAATATTTTCTTTAATTGCAATAAAATGTTTGCCCACCCTAAAGAATTATTAAAAATAATACAACTGTTGTGTATATGAAACATCAAACATTTTCTCCGTTGTACCCACTTCATAAAAGTAAAAATAATCTTTTCTCTTTAAAAATAAATAGTTGACCAAAAACGTTTGCCCATCTCTACTGTGCAGAGAATTCAAATTTTAGTCAAAAGTTTGCAACACAGTGAAGGAGACATTTCCGATCCTATACAGCGGATTTTCGTCGTCAGAGTACTAGGTTTTACCTAAAAAAAACAACATAAAAAGTACAAGGGGGAAAAATGTCGCGTGCGACAGGGATTAAAGATCATTTAAAAAAAAAACTGCTTAATATTTTTAAGCTAAACCAAATAAAAAATTAAAATCTTTCATCACGTTTCGCCAAAAACAGTGAATAAACATTTTTTTTAAGGACTTTTGTACGGTAGCGTCCGAATGCCTTACATTTATGTCATTTTCTTTAAAAATAAAATTGTCCTAAATCAATCTTAGCACCAATTATAGGACAAATAAAGAGCTACACATTTTAAATTTTGTAAAATAAAAACTATATAAAATAAAATAAAGTTTTGGTACATGTTTTCTTTTCAGTTTGAATCCGTTCAAATATCGTGTTCGACATCAGAGAATTGACCATATATGGCACATATTTATGTAAATATGCAATTTGTATATTTAGAAGACCAATAATTTTCCAGCTTGGGTGAGTTATTAAAGTTATGGAAAGTAATTTCTAACACATAAATAAATATAATTTTAGGGGTTCCCAATTTCCAAGCGACCACTTTCGAAGGAAATACACAAAAGCCGATTTTCATTTACTAATTAGGCTGTCAGGGTCACGATAAAAAAATATCCTTCGACTTCATTAGCGCTGAAAAGTTCGCCATCGCAAGTTGCGAAACGCTGACAGTGAAGTTGTCATTCGGTGGGCACACAAACCAGAATCGCCCCGACCTGGACCAAAAAGTGTCCGAAACAAATAGTGAGCTGGCGAGTGGAGGGGGCGGAACACATAGCCGAGAAAAGAAGCAGAAAATTGCGTTATAAGCAAAGTAAAGGACATTTCGCTAATGGCTTAACTTTTGAGCGCAGTTCTCCTCCTCCGCCGAGTCCACCGATTCCACAAATTCCCTGCCATGTAGCGGAAGTTGTTGCTGAAGCTTTTTTGACAGCCTTTCGCCGGTCTGGGAAGACGCCGAAGAAATTGTCATTTCTTTCAGGACTCTCGTAGTGTGGCAACGCTGCGTGAAGCAAATTTTTTGAAGTCTGTAAGTATTTGCATCCGACCATGTACTGTCGGAGACTGCGTTCTGCCTGCTCCTGTCAATAGAAAATCAATTTCCTGTTGTACGCAAAATGTTTGAGCCAGATTTCGGTACAGAGAGCAGGGCAAGAGAAAAAATCTTCCGCCTGCATTTGACACATTGCACATTATCTCGGGACTATAGAGTTTGGAAAGGCCTCAGCAACACAGCTCGTTGTCGCCTTGATCTTTCGCAAATAGTCAAAGAAAAACCAATCGCAGACTATCAACTAAAAGACTTGGTTAATTTAATTGACATTTAAAGACTTATTTTTAATTTATGCTAAGCAAAACAAAAGCTGACTATAAATAAATTCCCAAAAAATTGAAGCATTACCAAATAATTAATAGTATATTTTTGCCTTTGTTATTAGAAATCTAGTCAAAAGTCTACAACGCAGTTGTCCTTGTCAGCAACAACCGCCAAGTCGATCTAGCCATGTTCGTTTGTCCGTTAGCTGTCCCTTTACTATATGCAAACTAATACATAAGTTTTCAACATATTTAAATTTACTTTGAGAACTTAATTAATTTAATTTAATGTTTAGAATTCCAATTTAACGTTCGCTCAAAATGCATGAGAAGATAAAAAAATCAGAAAAGATGAAGTGTTTTGTTTTTTGTATCGTTTTTTAATGAGTTTTTCCAATTAATTATAATAGAACGCATTGCTTGCATTCTTATTACGTTTGTACAAAAATATATATAGTTAAATATTTTTAAAGCCTTATACCTATTTAGCCTATTTACCTTACAAAATCAAACGCTTAGAATTTTGTATCCCATATTCTTTTTTTGTATTTATTTGAAAAAAGAAAAGCTTGAAGGCACACATTGATTTTTTCTAATATCCTTGTCTTGGAAGATTTGCTTTCAATTTAAGTGTGGAAATTGTAGATCAATGACATTTTTGGGAGATATTGCTCTCAAATGCAAACCCTATATAGAATCTCAAATAGCAAAAGTATACAAATTTGGTTTTCCCAATAAATGTGGCGTTGTTTTTGTATTTTGCCCTTTGCGGAGTGCCGTATAATTGGTGAATAAAAAGAGTGCGTGAGCTTAATGCTGTTTAAGGTCTTTAAGGACTTCCCAGGCCGAACTGGTATCGAATTTCTATTCCGGACACTGAACTTCCTCCGTTTGTTGAATTTTTAGCTTCAATTTTTGCAATTACCCCCTTCTTCCATTATCTCGCTGTGGGTCATTTGGTGTATCCTGTTTAAGGGCCAGCAGCTGCAAAATGCCTTGCACTCGAAGCTTCAATCAGGAAATTTGATCGCCACTTAAAAGCAGCAGCTCCAAAAAATAAAAATAAAAAAACACCAGCAAATGCGAAGCGGGTGGGGACTGTGGCGGCAACAACAAGTGGCTAGTGGCAAGTTGCCGGCGACGTTGTTGCTGCTGCAGAATAACTCTTGACCTGAAAATCGTCAACTTTGAACCCTCGAACGGCATTTCCTGCCTCGATTTACACAGTGCCGGGCGAGGAGGGCTGCGCTGTCCCACATATCTCCCGATTTTACATGCGTATATACTGGGTATACATCGGATATATGTATGCAACATCGATCGGAGTGCACGCAAGAATGCCCGACCCGACTTTGTGCTGGAATAAAAGTTGAACAGGACCCGCGGACGGCGGACAACGAACAGCGAAGAGCGTCAATGACTGCAGCACTTTGTGTCCTGGCCCACAAACAGCCACGCCCTCGGCCACCGCTTGTAAGTGGTTGGGGTGGGCGGTAAATAAAATTACTCGAGATATTGAATTACGCGTTTTAAATTAAAAATATTTTTTCGCGATTGCATTAAACGAAAGGCGAACTAATTAAAGGCGATTTCTCGTCCTTTCAGCTCTCCCTGTTTCCATAATTTCATCTTTCTCTTGGTCTCCTCCTTTCCCTTGAATTTCCAATGCAATTTGCAGTCTTAAAAGGAGGTTGGTAAGCTGGGAAAGCCTCACAGAGTTGAAGCAACTGCTTTCCTTGGCTGCCTTATATGTCCAATTTAACTAAGGAAATTGTTTATTTGAGTTCTTTTTATGACATCAGACATCAGAGTCATGGTATCCCTCGGAAAGCATCTGCTCCGAATGCGCATCTTGTCCTAGGTCGCCGTCACAGTTTTCGGGAAGTCACTTCCTCCGGTGGGAACACGTGTCCCGCCCCCGTCCTAGGTCAACGATGTCTGATCGAATGGGTTACGATCCGAGCTGTAAGTGCTTTAGCACTTTGCACTCTAATTCCCCCGTCCCTCAGGATGTCCCTCGACACCTCCTGCTGCAGACAATGCGGGCGGGCGTGGCAGGAGTCACAGAGTCGTCCACAAGCCAAAACAAACAATGCATCAATCAATAAAGATTTCCGCACCTAATAAGCCGCAGACAAGCGGCAAGGCAGCATCTGGGCTGGCTGCAGCCTGCAGGCTGAAGGCAGCCAGGGGTGGCCGGAACCGTCATTGACGCCGTTCACCAATTAAAGGCCAATGGTTGCCTTCTCCCCGCCACCCGAAAGGTGTTAATCGAATTACGACCTCGGCATCGACTTTAACTTGTGGCCCCCCCAACTGCATAGCTGCAGGCTCAATGGAGCACGCACGCGGGACAAGACGGAGGGGCCAGGGGCAGGGACAACATCAGCTGCCTCAGTCCATGCCCAATGTCGTTGTTGGCATTTCCATATTTTCAAATTTGAATTTTCTATTCCGACGCTGTTGCCGAGGACGTCCTCGACTCTCGCCTCGGTGTTCGGCTGGATGTTGGTTGGAGCGGGACACTCTGCTCTGAAGAGCAGACATCGTTTATCAGGCAACACTTTGGATCCCTTCACCAGGCCCCTGTACCGCAGCTCGTAAAGAAAATTACACACATGTGTGGCTTTTCCTCCGGAGTTGAGGAGTCGAGGAGCAAGGAGCAAGGAGCCGGAGGCAGCGGGACTGTCGCTCCGTTCGGCTGGCTGCGTAAAATTTGAAAACACGTTAATGTCTGGCTGCATTTGAGCAATTTTGTGGCGCGCTTCGTTTTGGCAAAAGATCTCGTCGTAGCACAGTGGCCGATTTTGCTGTTCTAGCGGCAGATTAAGAATATTTTCAACTGTTAAAATTAATAAAAGTTTTATTTTCTATCGATAGTAATATAATCATATATACAACAAAAAATACTAAAACCGATCATAGCGATTAAATAGATCAGCTGTTAACAATCAAAGTCAACATATGGTAGCACACTATTTTTCAGAGCTTATACCTCGGTTGCTGCACTCTATTTTATATTTGCGACATTTTATTAGATTTCACCTTTTTTGAAACAAGTTCTCTATTTTCTTAAAGCTTAAGGTATGTAGAATAAGAAAATTAATGTTTTGTGACCTGTGAGTCGATGTTGTATTTGTAGTTTATGTTTAAAACCATCAATGTTTGTAGCCCCCTTTTTAAAAGCATGTTTCAGCTTCTGTAGACTAAATCTTTGTGAAGCTCGTCCCGGCCCGCAAAAACTGTATAACTGTGCTAAACTATGGTTCGTCTAGTATGTAAATTAACCAAGATCAGCTGCCCTTACGTGCCCCTGCTAAAGTTTAGGATATTTTTAGCAAACATTACTTAAGAAATTTTCGCTTGAACCATACTCGCAAAAACTCTCGGTCTAACAAATGAAGGATCTTTTGCACTTATTGTTGGTATAGTCGGATCCACTAATAACAAGTTTAAACAAAAGTGCGGCTAATAGTTCGAGCAAAGCAGTTTCATTTGACATTAAAGTTCAAAATCTACTTGTAGACTACATATGCAAGAAGAAAATTCCGATTCAGACTCGGAAAATTGAAATATATTTGTTTGTGGCTTTTTTTTAAATAACATCTTTAAAAACAAAATACAAACTCATTCAATATTTAAAAAAAGAAATTATAAATTAAAAAAAAAATTTTTAAGTTAAAAAAAAATTTTTAAATAAAAAATAAAAAATTAAATTAAATTAAAGGTGTAAAGTTTAATTTCTTTTTAGGTAAAGATTTGATAAAAATTTCAAACTTGGTAAATTTATCGTTACTTTTTATGAAATTCCATTTCTGCCGCTAGAACAGCCAAATCGGCCACTGTGCGTAGATGCGTCAGGAGACTTTGAGCCGGGGGAAACCCGGTGGTTGAGGGAGAAATTCCTGGAAAATGAGCAATTAAGTTCTCCTATGCCAAACCTATTACGGAGACCTAAACATGCCAAACCCGAAACACAATGGCTAATATACCAGGATGTTCTATATCATTTTAGTTATATTATTTTGAGTTTATATACCCAAAATATCTATAAGAAATAATAAGAAATACAAATAAAAAACTTAAAAAGGTTTATACAGATGATATGCCTTTTCGTAATAGACAAATATAGACTTAATCGTTCTTCCTTAATTTATTGTTAACCTTTTTAGATCGTAAAGCTTTCGGAATACAAAAAACACTGCTAAAAATGTTACACTTCTTAAAGTCTCTCAATCGAACTACATCCCAGATCGACTCCTTTGAGACCTTCCGCGAGGCTGTCGTCAGCTTTGCAATTACGAAACAATTTCGACAGCATGCTGCACCAATTGGAGGACTGAGAACGGAACAGAGCGCGGCTCCTGGCTGTCAACAAAAGATGGCATTCAAAAAGTGGAAATGTTTTGGGCGTAGAATTATGCAGATGCAGCCGGTGGAGGAGAGCCCAGTTCAATGCCAGAGCTCCGACTTTGCGTGGTTCCTCGGAAGGCCCTCATACACGTCTTCAACACCTTTCGGGAACTCACGCTTCATTTGCATGTAGCCATGACTCGGCGGTGGCACGACATATGGAGCCAAGACCACAGACCACCGAAAGAGTAGAGCTCCCTTTGGGTGAGTGACAACCGCAGAGTAAGACCGCATATATCAGAAATAATAATAACCAGCAATGCAGGGCGTCGGGCGCCAAACCAAAACTCAATTGACTGCCTCCTGCTCTCCTTGCCAGTGACTGTGGATCCGAATGTGAATGCGGATGCGGTTGGGAGTGGGTTGGGAGTGGGCGCGGGGGTGTCTACACAATCGAATCATGGCAAATATTTCCAAATGCGAGATGTGTGGAGAGTGCTAACGACGCAGCTGCATATTTTGTCAACTCTGAATGGGGCAAAGGACGTCGCAGGCGGAGTGCTAACGAATGTGTCTGCAGCGATGGCGATGGCTGTCAGTGCCACAAAGGTGATAAGCAATTGGCGAGGATTCGGAAAGGGCTTCCTTTCGCCGCGCAGCACTTGACTCCTGATAATTGCCGGTAAAGGCGAGGCGGTTTCACAATCAGCAGACAAACCGAGACTAATCAAGAGCTCAGGTAAGAGACCTTGGAATAGGGTAGACTCGTCCTGGCCAGATTCGTCAGAGCTTAGTTTTGTTTACTAATTATAATTTAATTGTTTGCTCCGCGCCGGCGAAAATTCAATTTTCACTTTCCCCCAGGGCCACCGGGGATGGTGGTGCTGTTTGTCATTCGACTTTTCTATTAGCATAAGTCGGGGAAAAGTTGAGTTCTCTTTGTGCGAGAAAAATGCGAACAAATATTTATGCAAATCCAGGAGAGAACTCTCGCGCAGCCCCATTCCCTGCCATCGCATGCATCTGAAGTATATCAAGTCATCTCCCACGCCGCCTCCGTCGTCCCAAGACAAATGACCAGCCGCGATCATCAGCGAGTTCATCAGCGGCAGCCGTAAGCGTTTGTTGATTACCCGCAGCCTTGCCACAGTTTTTCGTGCCACACCGAAAGTGAAAAGGCAAGGGGCGACTGCAACTGCACGTTATTTGCATTCGCCGGGGGATCTGTTACACTCCAAGGGCGTTCTCCCCGCTTTTCCACTTTCCAGAGGTAGAGCGATGAAAGTGTAAGGCAGCCGTCGCTGATGGCCAAAGGAGCAAGAGCAACTGCTGTGCTTCCCCACCAGGCCACTGGCATTAAGTCCACACCTGCCCCGGCGTCGTCGTTGCGTCGTCCTTCCTGCTTCCCTGCTGTCCGTCCTTCCGGGAAAATACGGAAAAAGGGGATAAAAATGAAGCTGCTCACAAAATGGAATAGAATTGCAGATTCATTTCACTCAACGGGTGAAATAGTTGGCAAGGCGGGGAATGGCGGAGGATTGTATAACCTTTTAGCTGGTTTATGTTTGCCTTAGCCAAGGGAAAAAGGTCAAAGGCCAAATCAGTTGCCCAGCTCCCAATTCCCAAGGCGACCGCAGATTGGAAAGGAGCAGGAAAAAACCCATTCGGAAATCATCTAAGCAGCGGCTTATTAACCCCACCAAGCTCCAGATGAGGAAATCGGAACGTACCTCACCGGTAAGCCAGGAAAAGCTAGCGCACTTCTCTCCTCCATTATTCCGTACCCAGCAATCCGCTTAAATCAATTAAAATTAGATTTCAACGCAAATATACCCAAAAAGTAGACAGTAAAAAGATCTCGAGGGTCACTATGGGGCCTAATTAAATATTAATTAAAATTAGTTTCAGGACTCTGACATGGCAGGGCATAGTATTTCGTTATTTTCACTAACTCTTGACTCGATTTCCATATTCTTTTGAGGGAAATCTCTGCCCTTTTAACCTTTCCATAAAAAGCTAAGCAATTTTAATTTGCGTATTGAAAAACGAAACATAAATCTAGCAATAATATAATATTAAAATGTGAATATTTTGTAGGTGATGCAAAATAACTTATTGTTTGAAAGATTAAAGCTAAAGGCACCCAAAGAACGAAAGTTAGATGTCAGTGGGAATATTTATCTATATATCCAAATTCGAGCTATCTTATCCAAGAGTATTATTTGCCTCGCAGTGGAGCTTTAAGATTCTCAGCCTGTTTTTGGTTTCCTTTTCATAGGAAATTCGATTTGTCTTTACCCGAGATTTTTCTCAACTCAACTCAACGTCTCCTCTCTTCCCCATGATTCTTTCTGTAGCTGTAGCCTCCGGCAAGCTACTTTATCAGCTCGTCCCCCACATTCCGCAGTCTCGCACTTTCCGCTTTCTCTGGTGGATTCCCCCCCGGACTCGCTTGTACTCCTGTCGCTTTGGCTGACTGTGTCTTCTGTATCTTTGTCTTGACGCCTTGCCTAGCGGCAAAGTTTGTCGCGTCTTCGAGTCCTGCAAACAGGGTCCCTCCTTGCCTGGCGTCCCCATGTCCCTCGCTCTGCCAGTGTCCTGTTGGCTGATGGCTCCCGGCTCACAATAAACCACTTTACAGCTACTAGTTTTATTTGCAGCAGCTCCGCTCGTATTTTTCGCAAGCGAAATTGAATTAAAATTTACATTTTTAATCATTTTTCCACAGCGTGACTTTAATTCGTCCGTATTTTTTCATCCTGTTTCCTTGTTTGAAGTGCAGTGCAATTCATTTGTCACAAAGTCCGTCTCTGTCTCATTCGCTATTAATTAGTGTGAAAAGCGCAAATTATTCCCCACCGCCACCCACCCACAGGCGGAGGCTACCAAGTCGCTAATTGGCTTACAGCGAATGATGAGTATTATATATGCAGGCATTATATTTATAATTATCATCGCCCTGTTTATGATCGACTTTTCTCCGCACCTCTGCGTCCCACAATTTACGAGTCTGATGCAATATCCCTAGCCTTTACACCTTCTCTGGTCATATCTACAAGCTGGCACTTGGCTTTCAGTGTTCTCCACGCTGGCGAGCTCGGTGTGTCTCGCCATCCCAGGCAGCTGCATCCGTTTGTCTTGAGGGGATTCAGGTACTCGGAAATGGGTGAGCGACTGAGCATCACATCTCTTCAGATGCAATTCCAAAAGTGTTTCCTCGGAATTCGTAGAATTTTCCATTATTCATCTTTCACACACACACACATCTTGCACACGCACAGTTTCGATTAAATATTTAAGTGAGATTTCAATTATATTGTTAATTCATCATCCCTCCTTTTGCCTTCATCAAATTGCGACTAAACTTGGCAATTTGGAGCGGAAAAGCTTTGCCCAATTCTCTGGAGAATGTTTGCATTGTTTGTTGTTAATGCTGTCGCTCTACACACAACACACACAAGCACACTCAGCGACACAACCCAACCGAGGTTAGTTAATAAACTTAACGTTGATGAGCGCTGAAGACAGAGGGGAGGAGTGCAAATTGGCCATCAATCGGGACTGAGGCAAAGGGACAGGCCGAAAGTAGGCCTCGAAACTGTGGAACTTCCGAACTAAGGGACTGACAAAATGGCAAACTGACAAACTGACAGATGGAAGCCGGAGCCTGGCCCCGTTTGCATTGTTGCCGTAGCTGGTCGGGGCGGCGTCTCTCGTGAGCGCAAATTAAATGCAAATTCAATTAATTTGGAGCAAACAATTTGCTTAAATTAATTAATTGAATGTGAATCTAAAGTGCTTCCAATTTAACGCTGAAGAGACCGGCGATGGTGGCTGTGGGTAGGGAGGGGGCAAAGGGTAAGGTACTCTGTCTGTGTGTGCGAGAGCACGGCATTTATTGAAATTATTGGACAACGGACCAAAGGGTCGACGGGCGGGTGGGCGCTGGACGAGGGCGCTGTGGCAAGCCACAAACTTTGGCAACGTGGCGTATGGGTAATTCTGCATTTGCTTTGCGTTTCGGCCCGACATCGTGCATTAAGCAAACTGTTCACTTCAAAATCAACTCGAAAATAAACAGCAGCAGCCAAAATGCAAATACAGCGATGCGCATTACTGTATGTGTGTGTCCGTGAAAATCGGAGATGGCGCCGTGACTCAATAAAGTTTTCGGGAAAATCTATAATGGGAAAATTGAGGTCTAGTCGGTTTTTTGCTAGTTTTTTTTGTTAAATATGTTACTGATTTTATATTTCCAAAGGCGATGTGGCACTTCTCAATTGAAGGCACTCGATATTAGTCACAGAATCTTATATATAATTACTAATATAAATCATAGCTGACTAATGATGGCTGATAATGCCACGAGGCTATGTGGATTTGGTCATATTTAATTATTAAAAGTTTTCTGTTCGTTAAAATGGGAAAAAATTTACAAAGGGGGAATAAACTTAAAAATGACTGCATAATATATAAAATATTTTATATTTAAGTGTCAGCTAAACAAGTGAGGTATCTTTCTGGTAAAGATGATGATTCCCAAATTGAACCAGAGTATTCATGGAAGATTGGTTAGTTACGGCTCACGCTGACATCTCCCATGGCAGCCGCAGCCATTTTTGGAAGCGCTCTCTCCGAAATGGCTCTTCGTCGGTTAACCGGCAACCAGGCAACAACTGTCGATTGCCGATGACTAACAGCCATTACAGCAGGTCCTCGCTGCCCCACCGGAGACCCATCTAGCCTCCAAACCCACTCCCGCTCCCGCTCCCCGCCGCGTTGGCAGTTTGAATGTTGTTTGCATTTTATATTTGCCAAGTTTTTATCGCTCGTTATTCACGTTGCTCGGATTCGCTTTTTGGCCAAAGGAGGTGGAGGTGGAGGTAGGGGAGCTGCCACGAATTATGCGCTTGATTAATATGCGAGTTCGATCTGAACGTGCCACGCCCCCTACTGCACGCATAACTGTTTATTTTGATAGTTTAATGTGTATGCGAGTACGCGGCTGTTTATTTGCTTTTTGGCCTGGTTGCTGTTGTTGTTATTGTTTGGCCAGCAAATACACACACTAAAATGGCAAATTTGCGCATTGCCAAAGTCAACGAATTGTAAATGATTATAATTGTCTTTTATAATCGCGCAGCCCGAGCGAGTTAAAGCCCAGCGAATGCAGGAGAGCATTGAATTTATTTCTTATATATATTAGCTGCAAAAAAAACAGTTCCCCCAGTAAGTCCGACGATTAATCATCTCATTGAACTCACGAGGAAGGAGCGGAAAATAAAAGGCTCACTTGGCATTTGACAAAAATCCCAGCCCCAAAACAGATTTTCACTTTCGCTGGACAATACCAGAAAGGGGAGCGAGCGGGGTAAACTGGAACTAAGCATAATAAACAGATGCGGTAAGGAAAATATAGCCAATGATAGTTTCATCCAAATTGAGTATACTGTTTCTTACTATTTAACAGAACCTATTTTTGAAATAAATATACAAATAGTATACTATATACTAAAATTAGATTGTAAAGTCAAAAGAAGCTTCAGACCAATATCATTTGGTTGAAATGTTTTAAATTGATTTCCGCAAGGGAAGCTGCGGTAAATAGCTAGTCTATAATATACAATTATATTTCATTAACTTATAATATTATGTGTATATATTTTTGTGTTATTTTTTCGATCGCAACTGTATGCCCAGAGTCTGACCAGGCAATGAAGCAGCCCGAGCGATAATAAATTTTAAATCATTTGTCATTTGACGCATTTCGGGTTAACAAGCAACTTCGACTTCGCCGGCGACCCTCGAGAGCAAATACGGAGACAAAGGCAAAGACAATGGCGGGCCGGCCGATATCGATAAATATCATTTGTTTGCCTGGGACCCGACCTGGCCAACAGCATCTTGGGTCAGTTTTTTGGGTCGCGGCACGGATAGTTTGCCTTTTTGTTCCCCGTTTTCTTTATTTTGGGTTCGCAGTCTATTGACAAATGCCCTGGCCTGAGCTTTAATTGCCACAAGCTACTCCCCCCGCATCCCATAGATTTTATCGGGCCTCATTCAATATACATAATTCTTGTGTGAGCTTGGAGGGAAAACAACAAAACTCGAGCTGATAAAATCGGGGGAAGCTTGAGTCGGAATGCAGCTCGGAAAAGAGAAGAACTTGGGGCTCCCCGGTTTTTCATACACACTCTCCCAGGGCCGAGGCTTCTGAGCGGCAATCTAACTGTAGATAGGCCCCGCTTTATGATTGTTTCTTCTAGATTTATTTTACAGCCCGCCACGGGTTGTTGCTGTGTGCACTATGCCTCATTGCGCGATAATCACAGAATAGGAAAAACACTAAAGCATAGTTGTACAAATCCATAAAGAACCATAAAAAATGTAGTTGCTTTTGGCCTTTGAAGTGACTTTTAAATTGTCTTTGGTTTCCTCTAATGAAGTGAAAATGAATATGTTCTCGGATGATATACTTTTGGCTGGCAGCGGAAACTCCTTGCGAGACTCACCTGAAAAGAAAAGAGGAGAAGAGAACGATAAGTTTCCATTGGATACTCCACGATATTCCACTCCTAAGTGTGGCCGAACCTAATTCTCGGCATCTCCCATCATTCATATAGATTTCTTGGCTGAAGTGCCTCCCCCAGGGAATTGCCATGCCGACAGAGACGGCGACTCTCGGCCATAAACAGTTATTACGGCCGTCATGTCCGAGCCATATGCCAATTAATGTTTGCCTCACGCACCGAGTCGGGCAGGAAGCCGAGCCTAAGTTTGGCAACTAACTGCATCCAACCCAAATGCCACACGGGCGACAAATATGGCTGAAATGCCAGCAGACTTCTCTTGCAGCTGCGCTAAAGACGAAGTCGCTGTGGATGTAGCCAAGGCAATAAAGGCCACATCTATAGCCATAATGGCTCATTACGCGACCCGCTGATGAGGAGAGCGGGTCCGACGTCCCATATCGCGGCAATGAAATCGTTTGTTCCCGCTCTCCATCCTTTTTGGCCAACTTATTAGACGGGCGCAGTCGCAGCGGGGGAGAGGCGCTGCCAACTGCAACTGCAACAGCGATCATCGATAGGCCCACGACGACGACGACCAAAAGTTGGCTGGTAGTTGGCCAACTGCCTGCTAGCTCCAACTGGCCAATATTATTTATTTATTTGGTTTTGGAGGGAACACTGCACAACCTCTTTTTCTTATTATAAAATGTTTTGGAAATATGAAAATAAAATATATAACTGTTTCCCCCATTGGATTCTATGATTCCAAACCTCAATTTGTAGTTTATTTGCTTAAAAATTAACTAATTAATTTGTTTAATGATACAACATAAACTATAAGCCACTTTGCTTTAGACCTCTCTGGAGTTCAGTTTGGTGTTGCATAGTGTGATTGGGTAAATGCTTACCACTCGACTTGACCCTTGCGTGGTTCGCTCGCAGATCTCTCAAGGCTTGTGGCTTGCGTGGTCCCTCCGCCACCTAGGAGTGCTGGACACCTTCTAATGTTGCTAATTTCCCAACAGAGATTTGATCCGCACGATTGGTGAGTGGAGGTGGAGGGCGGGAGCGGTGCTCCGTGGGCAGCTGCGTGTGTTGGCGTTCCCTCCGAAGTTGCGGCTGGTTTTCGGTATCGCTGGGTAATTGGAATATCAATTGCGGTCTCCATTGTTCGCCTCGCGCATGGCGAAATTTACGAGTTTGTCAATTTGGAAATTTGCCTTATATGCGGCACAGCGCAGGGTTCAATTTGCATTGCAAATAAATGCCCAGTGGAAAACGCCTTTGCCGGCGTTCGTCCGGGTTTTCCTCCGCCCGTGCTCCAAATACTCGAACGGACATACGTATATATGGAAATATGGTTGATCTGGAATCTATGGTCCCGGTTCCCCCCATTCGAATTGAACGATTACAGGCGGTGGACGAGAACAAAGAAACCAGCCATAAATGACGCCATAAGCTCTTACGTGTGTGTCCAGGAATGGAGGTCTATAAAGTTATGTTTGAGTGCATCCTAAACAGTTCGGGTCACTAAACAGTTCGTTATGGCTAAAATAATATTTATCATAGGTGGAATGGAATGGCCCTCGTAAAATCGAAGGCACTTTAACGATCACTTAAAAACCAAGCTGATCTAAAAGTCATAAACCCTTGA